CCCCCTTTACTAACTTTTGTCCTGACCATAGCCAGTTAGAAATCCATTAAATTGGCGGCAAGCAGATCAAGCCTGACAATCTCACCCGCAAAAAAGCCAATGTAGTTGTGATAAGCTATGGTCCTGATGTCAACTAGCCATAAACCGGGTGGGCCAACAAAGTTAAGGAGCTGCATTACAATGTGTGCATTTTCATTTTTAATCCTTAACCTTACTCGACTATTTTTGGTGCATTCTTTCCGTTTTAGTTTTAAAACACCTTTCCGAACTATTATTTTGATATTGTATCATAAAACGACCCAAAATATTTTGTGATAGCCTCCTTAAAAGAATCGACATTTCGAAACGATTGTAGGTACTACATTTCTGTTGCATTAGACGCTGTCACTGTAAGACAATTTTTGTATTTTCAGAGGGATTCTACTTGTTGCGGGTCAGTTGATGGGTTCTGTTACCTTTTAGGTAAGCCTCCTTCTCCACCCATCGAAGAGACTATGGCACCTCAGACAGAGCAGCCTACACCGGAGACCGCTGAACCCACTACTGCCGAGCCTGCCACTGGTAAACCTACCACTGTGGCGCCAAAACCAAATCCACCATCTGGCGGAATACCGTCAGGTAAAAGTCTTTTCATATTAAATTGTGTTAAATTTACAAGTCCTCCTCGTTCTATACCTCTGGATTAGGTAATTTTGCACTGGCTTAGCATTGTTTCAAGGACTAATGTTTTACATGGGGTTGACTACACTGCGCTTTTCTCACTGGACAGAATATTGTAATACTAAACAGTTTTCCATATTTTTGACAATGACTTATGGGGCAGTATTCTACAAACCCGTTCTTAAGCTAAAAAGTCATGTACTTCACTTGAGAAATGAAAAACATGTCTTTTACGCCTCAGAATATCAACCAGTATGCCACACCTTTCTGATCCATTCTCATTTAATGGCTAGATTCTCAGAAATATTGCCTAGAAGTACACAACAAATTCCGAGAATCTCATAACGCCCCTCCCCTTCAGTGGTCATCAGAGCTGACGCGCGATGCACAGGAATGGGCCAACCGCCTTGCAAGCCTTGATCAATTTCATCACGATCCAAACCTACAGGCCAAAGGTCAGGGTGAGAACCTTTACTACCAGAGTCCTCCCGAGAGGCTGTGCAACTATGGTGAGTCCGGACCACAATGCCTGAGCTGTGAACATGTCGTGGGGGCGTGGTACAACGAGAAAAATGATTATGATTACACGACAGGGGAGGCAAAGACGCCTTACGCTCCAATACTGCACTTCACTCAGACCGTTTGGAAAGCGACCAGAGCGCTGGGAATGGCAACCGCTGTGGGGCACAACAAGCTATTTGTGGTCGCGCGTTACTCTCCTGCTGGAAATATCATTGGAAAGTTCCAGGAAAACGTCCTTCCTGACTTGTAAGTTTACTAGAAAAAAGCAGCACCTGACTTGTATTGCTGGGAGAAGAAATTGCACATTGATCAGCGAGCTAGACTCTGGATCGATAGGCTGGTCTCAGTAGTCATCGTTCAATGCTTTCAGGACCATGAGTGACTAGGATCAACTAGGTCTAGGATCCTTAAAGAACTGTTGCTGGATCGAGCACTAAGGTCATGGGAATATAGACAATAATTGATGTAAATAAATAATTAATCGTTGATTAATTAACAATTATTAATAAACAATTAAGAAGCTCTTGATTCATAAACAAATTCTTCGTGTCGGTACCATAGGAAACGTGTAGAGAACAGTCAGTGGGGAATGAAACAAATTGATGTTAGACTCTGAGTCTGTCCAA